AGGATTTTCCTAACTTCCTTGGAAAATACAAAGTGCTTCTCAACAAAGAACATGCTTAGTGATAATAAATCAAGCACAGTCACTTAATTGCTTTTAGCAACTTGTTTTCCATTGGAAATGTCAGTCATTTAATAGTCATTTCACAGCATGCTTTTATCCAAAACATTAAAAATCAATTATATTTCATTAAAAAGTGATCATATAGACCATTTTCAAAATTAATTCATTTATAGTTTAGTTGGTACAAGAAAATCTAAAATTGAAGTACATTTTCAAGCAATTGCTTTTTTCACATTCTGTTTCTTATTTTGAATCCTTTATAAAATTAACACGTATTTCTATTGTATTTATAACATTCCAAAGATGTCTTACTATTATTCAAATGAATGTTTATGTTTAATTTAAAAAACCTTTTATGCTGTGCCTGCAGTGTGTTAAACTGGATGAACTCAACGTTTGTAATGCTGACATCCCATATGGTTACTGGATTGTGCCTCGCTGCTCCACTTCCGATCCAGCTCCCTGTTAATGGCCTGGGAAGAGGCGGAAAAGGTGGTCTAAGTACTTGGGCCCCTGGTACGCTTGTGGGATAGCTAGAAGTTTCTGGCTCCCAACTCCTGCCTCGCCAGGCCCTGGCCACTGTGGCTCCCTGGGGAGTTGGCCAACGGAAGAGACTTGGCTCTGTCTCTGGTCTCTCCTTTCTTCTCTCTGAAACTCAACGAAATAAATACATAAATAGGTAAATCTTAGAATGATTTGTGCTAAAAGTTTTAAGCATTAAGTTTAAAAAGTTTTATCGGTGCAGATATACATATTTAAGATTGTGATGTTTGGCTATCACTGAAACAACTGTCAAACCCGTATTACCAAATATATGAGTTTCGTTTTGAAATGATAAAATTGGCACAGCTTGTCCACTCTTCATCCACTTATTTCAATTAAAGTTAGACTCCATTATATTTTATACAAATTTATTCATTTTATGACTATTTTAATAATCAGTAACAATAAGATAGTTACCTTCTGCAAACACTGAACAAATCACCTGCTCCTGAAACTTCATTTTATTGCTAAGTTCTAGGATAGCTAATGTACAATCACGAGAATGTTGTATATTTTTAATATAACACAAAAAGGAGAAACTAGGAATCTTTGTTTTGGAACTCTATATTTCTTTGGAATTTAAATAGCTATAGTGCAATTTGTGAAAAATTTCTAATATCCTTAGAAAAACAGATTATCCTTTTATTTCTGCTAAAATGCTTTTAGATTTAAGTAATAAGAGTTCTCTTGGATAACAATGTACTATATGCTCTATTAGTCAAATCACTGTATAAAGGATCACTGTTACACCCGTATGTTTACCTGTGAGTCTGCCTCTCCCCTCCCCAAAGTCAGAGATGCTGTAAGAGTTCTGCACAGGAAAGTAGGCGCAGACACATTCCAACCAAGTCAACATGCTTTAATGCTTAGCAGGGTGAGGTCATCACGTTTTGAACCGAAGTGTTTCTAGAAGATTTGCAGACTGAGGACTTGCTACCACCATTTTCCCATGTTTAATCAGACAGAAAAGGGAGGCTTTTTTTCTTGTTTATCAGTCAGATTTGCACACAGAATGTTTCCTACAGTAATTGTCAGTTACAGCAAAGCACTGGGGTAACGTGAGACTGGTTCATAGCAGGTAAAGATAATTTGAAAATCACAGAAAAGAGCAGGTAAAGGCAGCATGTATTATCTGCAGAGCCAACAACAACAGCTCCAGGAAGAAACTCCACTGTGGAATGCTAAGCCACAGCTTACAGATGGCGACTAGGACACAACTTTCCAGAAATCAGCTTTACAGTGCCTAAAGCTGTCCATAAATAAGCGTCACCCTGGAGCCTCTCCACAACCAAGCACCTGACAGGGTGTCAGGGGGCCATAGGGCACTTACACATTGGCCACTCGATATTCTGGTTGCCATTCTTGGGCTTTTGCACATGCAGAAAAGGTGTTCTAGGTAGACACATCACTTGTTCCTGGAGCAGTCCTGTGGAAGAAGATGGCAGGCTTTGCTCGAGACATTTTGGTCTCGTGTGTGTGTTTCCCAGCTCAGGTATAAAGGATCCTGGCAAAAAGAAACCCCGGAACTCCTCATCACGTCTCCTCAAGTCCTGGGCCCCCAGGACAACTTCATTCTTTCCATTACTGACTCTTTTCGTGTCAATTTGCATGGACTCTCCAAGAAGATTCCTGGTTGATTTCAGTAGGAGAGACAGGGAAAAATGCATCTCACTTACCAGGAATGGGAAGTCTACTAATGAACTTAAATTATTTCTCATTTCTTTATTGGCTGCTTTTCTGGTCCTCAAATTTTTGCATTTGGGACATGATTCTGTATTGTGGAAAGCACTTTCTTTTGGAGACAGTAAATTTTTTCATTTTTTCACCAGCTTCTTTGAGTTGCTCACATCTCGTTCTTATCTCGACCATCTTGCCCCTTTCTGATACATTCTCCTTTTCTGTCATTGTGCAGTAAACATCCAGAATCCATCATGTTAACATGTAACTCAACAGCATTTTAGTTTTGCTTCTTTTTCCTCTGTTTTATTTTTCTTTAAGATCAAGTTCATACATATTTTTGTTTAAAATAATAAGCTGGTAAATGGATTTTTCAATCTATCTAAACAGCTACAATTTTGTTTTAAAAAACACTCCAAGAGTTTTCCTCATCAGAAATAATTTTATTTAATTCAATGTAACTGGTAGCAAAATGTACATAATCAATGAACAGAATCAACTTTCAAAGTCATACAAGAACTATTCTTTATTTTCATGTGCAAGTATACTAGTTTTAAAAAGGCAACAGTTTGTTAAAAGTCCTTTATAACCATGTTTTTATTATTTAAATAACAGAAAGACTACCAGGCTATTGTTACAGCAAGCTGATATGAATTATGTCAAATATTAAATTTGGACTAATATTCATAATCAAAAATAATTTTTCAAATTTATGAAACAAAATTTTTACTTTTATAGGAAATATAATCATATCCTAGCTTAAAATCCCAGTCTTAACAGCTGTCATAATGCAAAAATACTAAACTTCAGATCTTGTGGGGAAATATATTTGCAAAATCTTACACTTCATCCTAAAAATAACTTAATGGAATTTAAAAAGTCAACTCAAAGTAGCATCATACTTACCACTGATATGCAAATATCAATCAAGTTCATTAATCACTTCTCTCGTTCACATATGTTAGCTCAACACTGTCTTCAGTGTCAACGATCTGCGGCAAATATGTTTGTCAAATTTATTTCACATCTTTAATACACATACATGTATAGATACACGTAAGATTTATGTTTTAAGGCATGCTCCCAATTTTAAGTAGTCTCTCATAATAAACCGTTCTTTCTTATCAATGAAAATTAAATTCTCTTTTTTATCGGAAATTTCTTGACATTCTTGTGTTCGAAAATATGGAAAAGGTAAAAGACTAAAAGAAAAAGACATTACATATTCTTTATGTCAAATGATATGTTGGCTAAAACTCTTTGGTTTGAAATTTTTATTTCTGCAGAATTATTGAGAGAACATTACGTTTCTTTATCCTTTGCAGTTTATTTCATTTTTCTTTTAGTTGGTCTGCTTCATTATCAAAAGAAGAGGCAGCACATCCATTTCTATTACAATACTTCCTAGTTTTGGATGAATTAGAATTCAATGTCAAATAAATAAAACATAACATTAGAAGAAAAGTATTTTTTAAAATGTATTAGTGCTTCTCCCTTGGAAATACCTTAACTTCCAGTTCAACACTGGACATTTTATCTAGCCCTCTTTGAGCCATTTCTGTAGGGGGATAAAGATAAATTTAAATGTGTAAATAAAAGCATTTGTTGTCACCAGGACATGACTTACAATGCATCATTTGCTTTAACTTATGGGACAAAACCACTTATTTTTATACTATGTATTTTCCTCACACTATTTGTTTCAAATAACTGACATATTTTAGGGTGATTATTTTAATATCAAAGACATAAGGAGGCTTTGAATGCTTTGAAGTATCCCCATACTCCATAAAAAGTATAAATTTTCTTCTTTAAATGCTAGAGTATTTTAACGAAATTTTCTAGTTACATGAAAAATATTAACGCTCCAGAGACTAATGAAATTGAAAATCAGGACTACGTAGCTCAAGAAATCCAGTTAACATTTCAATTGTTGAATTTAATTTAAACTTACAAATATGTATTACATATTTTCTATATGCTAGGAATTCCTTCAGAACACTAGATATTTCATTTTGTACACTTCGTTTGGCATAAAATGTGTGCTAGATAGAAATGATCGAAAAGTTCAGATCCTTAATATTTCTTTTTGCTTATTTTAGCTTCTTTTGTGAAATAAAACATGCTATGAGCATCAGAAATTCTACAGTGGATATGCTATCATAGGAAGAGGCAGAACAGAAAGATTAAAATGGTTTAAAGATTTCTATTCTAAAACCGTGAGTCTTACACAAAACTCAGGAACGCAGATTTCCTGGTTAATTTCTCTGAGGAGAAGATTAGACATTTATAATGAAATAAATTTTATAAAACTAAATGCTTGCACATAATATGACCCATCGAAATTTTTGGAGGAGCAACAATCTATGCCCACTGTGATGCACCAAATACTTGAGATTTTCAGTAGACATTCATAAAACTTTAATGATTATTGAAAGTTACTTCACACAGTTTGAATTACTGTTAAACAATTACATATAAAATTTAAATTTTGTGTTTTAATTTAGGTCTTCAAAATCATTCTGCTGATACCTTCCAAAGACCAATAGAGGACGAGTCGATAGATAGTACATTAAATCTTAAAATGATCTAGAATCATAAGAGAATAGATTCTGTTTTTAAATATGGCAGAACTTAACACTTTCCAGTCTGTTTCCTTTCACTTTTGTTATTTTAAGCAAAATCTTTGTAGGAGAAAAAAATAAGTCTCTTCTTGCTAATCAAAGTTGAGTTTCCTCCCGTGTGTCTTGACCCGTAGTATTACAAATGCTGTTTTTCCGGCTGGGTTCGCTATTCGGAAGATAGGCCAAAGGATCTGGCCTGATTAAGTATCTAATAAAAAAAAAAAAAAGCAAAAGTAGTATTCAGCAAAAGCAACACTGATTCACACTGACAATTTAGGTTTCTTCCTGCCCAGGTTTCAAGTTATCTAAATTCTGTTTTCTACGAAGCAGAGCAGGAGGTCTCACTGTTTCCTGGCCTATAACTTGCAGTGCTTATATAATCATTTACATGTTTGAGAATATTATGACGAAGGATGATAATGAATCAAAGATATTGAATTCTGATAAATTTTGGCATCTTTACCTTTATCATATTTTAAAGATGCATTTTAGTATTTTTATTTACTATAACTTATTTTGATCATTTTTCATTCAATAATGACTCTCAACAATTATAAAATTAGTAATTTGACAGAAATGCTTTCTATGACTTTTTAAACTTGAACATAGCAATATTTTTTTTTGCAAAATTCATGATGTAATAAATGCAAACATTAGGTATAAACACTTTTAACTGTACTAATATCTGGAATATTAGCAGAGAAACTATTAATCTAAAACTCAGTTTTTTGGAGAGTAAGTGATAATAGTAATGTGAAAAATATTATTTCAGTTTACTAGTTACATAGGGAAAAGCTACACATTTCCTTACTGCCATCATTTACCTGAGTTGTTCAACTTTAGATGGCTTAGACACACATTATTAGCTCCCATGACTGGAGCACCCAGAAGACACTGTGATAATACCTACAAAAATGTAACTAACACAGCCTGACCCCAGCCCTACAAAAGCTTACCACATCGCATTTGAAAAGAAAAGGAAATTCCAAATGTCACACAAAGAGTTCAACAACAACTGAAAGAATTAGGCGATGTTTTATTGAAGTGATCAGCATGAGTTCATCTCTCCGGGACAGAGGGGAGCAGAGATGCCACCCTGCAGTGGGACAAGGTAGGGAGCCCAGAGCAGGAAGACCTCTGATGCCAACAGGGGATGAATTTGACCTTGGAAGACAAGTAGCAAACAGTGTATGAAAAGTCAGGAAGAAAGGTTGAAGCGGAGGATGAAGCACTGTGAGATTCAGGATAAACAGTTTCAATTTCCTCTGGAAAGGCAGAGGGAGCCACTGAGGACTCGCAGGAGAAAGACAAGAGACAATGCAGCACTCTGAGGGAGTCTGGCTAATGAAGTTCAAGAAGTGACTGGGACAGCTGCAGGGGAGAACTCCAATAAAGGCTATTTTGTTCCATAAAAGTAAAAGGATGAAACACTCATAAAACACACTCCTTACTTAAGATAAAAAAAAAACAACTGAATGCATAACAGTCTGTTATCTTCAATCAAAATTTGAAACTTGGTGTCCTACTTGCTATTTTGCTGTCTATGCACAATGCTTTATAATTACTTGAAATATCAATAGCATTGTAGATCAATGAGGAAAACTAATAGTGCACATTAAGCTTTTTAACGCCATATCATGTAGTGATTTATCATTTTTGAATCAAATCAATGATGTGCATTCAATGAATTTTTGAAGTTAATATTTAGAAAATTATAAAAGAGGCAAGTGTAATCCATTATCCCCAAATTCACCAATGCAGTAGCAAAAGCTCCTTCCTTTTTATTCTCCCAAACAGAACTCTAAGTCCAATAGAGGACATATTTTAAACTCTGTTGCTATACACTACTTGTCATGGTAGGCATATTTCATGGTAATTGATCACTGTTCCACCTCTACTGAAATTTAATTTTCTCATTGCCACAAACATGTATCACTTTAGTGATGTGAGCAGAGATTTTGTAATAGCAGTCAGGCTGATGTTTTAACTTGTAATTAACAGACAATGAGAGTATCTGAAAGATAGAAAATCTTCTAAAATATTTACCCATATGCTATATTGTGACGTTATTTTAACTATAGCTTTTAGCTTTGCAAATTATTTGAAAATATAAACGTAACAAATTTTATGCAAGATGGAAGAACTTGTTCACAGACTGCAAGATTAATATTATGCTAAAAGTAAGCACGGGAAATAATTGTGTTAGACTCAAGAAATTCAGAATTATGAAACACAGATACAAAGAGTCATAACTAAGTATATAACTATAAGAGAAGTACAATTATTTGAGAACGAGAAGTTTGGTAGTAATAGAGATACAATGCAGCATTCATTTAAAACTGCTTATAATAAGGGTTTAAAGGAATGTGTAAATGAGGATATCAGATTAAAAAACAACCTATTTTTATTACTGTTACACAAATGAAGACTCCAGGATGGGCAACTGAAACCTAGATGAACCATACATTTTAAAGAAAAGACCTCTGGGGCCAGCACCATGCCGCACCACGCGAATCTCTTGTCTGCATCCCACATTGCCTCCAGTTGATATCCTGGCTGCTCCACTTCCAATCCAGCTCTCTGCTCATGTTCGGGCAGTGCAGCAAAGGACAGCCCAGCTCCTTGGGTCCCTACACCCACATGGGAGACCTAGAAGAATCTCCTGGCTTCAGATTGGCTCAGCTCCAGCCATTGTGGCCTTTTGGGGAGTGAACCAGTAGATGGAAGATCTTTCTCTCTGCTCTTTACTTCTATGTAAAATCTGTCTTTCCAATGAAAAATTAATAATAAAAAAGACAGCCACACATTCAACATCACTTTTAGATATATTTTTGATAAGGGCTTAGAACTGTAATGGCTTAAATTGCTATCCCTCTGCATTTCCAAAGTTCCAGTGTTCTAACCAGTATTATCAGAGACCAATTTTTAACAAAGCATTACTAAATCTTCTAGTTGTAACTTAGATATATTACAACACACTTTTCAAACTTATCTTGGGTCAGATTAATTCCTGTGGTTCATTTTCCTAATAAGATTTTGGAACCCTTTCCTTTCTGTGCTCTAAACCTTAACATTACCTAGCCAGTCAATATTTCTCTGTGTTTTCTACTTATGAAACGCGTTGAAATCTTTTTCTTACAATAGGCAATTTTAAAAAATCAAGTATTTTCCATATAGAAATAACTGAGATTTCCCTTGGCATATACTTTCCTGCTCTCTTAGACTTTTCCATTTAGCACTTTTAAGAATTATTCTCTGAACAGTCAACACTGCTATTTTACGTATGTATTTGTGTTTATTTATTTGTTTATTGTTTGTTTTTTAACCACATAAAATGAAACCTTAGATTTGTGTTGGACACCTCTTACAATAACTAACCCCATCATCAAGTCTTCCTTTTGTTCACAGATACGGTAGTTTACCTTTACAGTTCATTGTGTGGATGCTACGGCAGACTTTTACTCCTCCCAGCATCAATGCCATGTCCAAGTTAATTCATCCTGTCAATCATACTACTCAGCTCCTTTAAAAAAAATTCTACCCTTTCCACTTCAACCAAGTTTCTCACCAACCCAGAAACAATATTTTAACTCTCTACATACAAATTTTTATTTTATTTTTTCCTTAGAATATTAAAACGTTGAGTGACAGAGCGCCCAATGTGACAGCTCAGTGTCTAAATCCTCAGTTTGCATGTGCTGGGATCTCATGTGGGTGCCATTTTATGCCCTGGCTCTTCCATTTCCCATACAGCCTCTGGTTTGTGCCCTGTGAAAGCCGCGGAAGATATCCCAAAATCTTGAAGCCCTGCACCCACATGGGACACCGGAGAAAATTCCTGGCTCCTGGCTTCAGATCAACTCAGCTCCAGCTGCTGTGGCCACTTCAGGTGTGAAACAGGAGATGGATGATCCTTCTCTCTGTAAATCTATCTTTCCAATAAAAAATAATCTTATTTTTTTTTAAAAAAAAGAATGAATGACAAAGAGATGGAAAGAGAGAAAAAAAGACCTTCCTGTTTGCTTGTTCATGCTCCAAAAAGCTTTAGCAACCAGATCTGTGCCAGCTCAAAGCCAGGAGCCTGGAACTCCACCCAGGAAAGGGCCCTAAAACCTGGGTTGGTATTCACTGCCTTCCCACAGGGAAGCAATGGGAAGTGAAATAGCCTGAACTTGAATAGGTACTCTGATAATGGGCATCAGAATCATAAATAGGGACTTCAACGCTATACCACAACATTGGCCCTTTCCACGATCTCTTTGAAATACCTTCCTACAGATGGTATCTTAATCTTTGCTCTCCCTTTATGAGACTCTTCACTTAGTGACATTTTCTTTTAATAAAATGATGTGATTTCTTGCAAGGCTAAGAATTAGCTCCAGAGGCACTTACCCAAAGTGTTGGTTATGTTTTGAAGGATGGATTCATCTTTCAGAGAAGCATACAATTCCCTTAATTATGCTTTCTTTCACCCACATGTTAGCTTTGTTTTCAGTCTTCAGTTCTAGTTCATTGACAAAGCAGCCATTATGAAGTAGAGCAACCATAGGAGTGACCATGGCACACTCCTTCAAAGCTTCCATTCCGATGTTTCTCTCGCTCTCTCTTTTACATTCTTTATTGTTTTACTTTCAAAACACTAGCATGAATTCATTTGATGCTTTGTATCACAGAACATCTTAATCCTTATTAGTCTTTGATCTCATTTACCTGATTACAGATGCAAACATTGTGTGTCCTTAACACACACGATCTCTGGCATTTGTTTCATCTCTGGCATTTGCCACCTGGAGGGAGCTACACTTTGTGAGTATGACCATGCAACACGGTCAGGACATGATACCTCAAGAGCAGATTCTCCATAGGGATTTGATGCTAAGGTTATATCAACAACTGCCAAAGACACTTCTAAATTCTGGTCAATTTCTTGTTTGTGTGTGACTGAGCACTGCCTAACATAGATAAAGTACTGAACTCCTTGTTTTGTCACCCAAATTCCTTTCAGAATCAGACCTTGTGTTTCCAGTGTTATGGTTAACAATAGATACATTGCTAAAACTATGAACCCCAGTCAATCTTCCAGCTCAAATACTTTATGCAGTTCCCACGTAGTGTGTTAGTCACAGACCTTGCTTTACATTGTATAGTATCCTTTGTTCTCTACCAATAGCAGTCATAACCGCTCTTCAAAGTTTAGTTCAAATCTGACATCCTTTACAATCACTATAAACCCTAATGATGTCTTCCTTTTGAATTCAGAAAAACATTGTCTATGCTACTCATTTGATGTGCAATTTGTTACTGTCAAATTCTATTATAATTCCAGTTTACTATAATTATATAGTCATATTAGCACTTGGAAGTCAGGGGAAAAATTTTAGCCATAGTTAGGGTAGAGCTATTTTAAAAATCCGCCTTTTCAATGGGTAAAATTATTCCTATGTATCTTTTCCTAGTAAATGCTTCCTCCTGTTTTATTTTGGGGTTGTCAGGACTTCTGAGTCAGTTGGAACTTGATAACGTGAAATATCCACAATTTCTTTGAGTTGTTCTCTAAAAATTCCACTAGGTTTCTCTCATTTCTCCAGAAATACATTAGGTCACAATGTATAATATATAATTTATCCCCATTTTCTCATTTTATTATGACTTTTTAAAAACAACTCTACAATCTTTTTAATACTATCACACTAAGCACCCATTGACTCCATTTGTTATTGAATTAGACATAAGAAAAAAAAAGAGCCTTCTTAAAATAAGATTTGTTAAAAGTATAAATTAGTATTTTCCTAAAATGGTCAACTTACACAACATCATTCAGCTCTAGTCTCGTATCTGGAGATGGATTGATCAGGATGTAGGAGAGGGTGCTTTGATGATCATTCATTTCATCTGGAAGATAAACAAATGCCAGGTTTATTACAGAATTCACAGAAAGTTACGAGAGGCACTGCTTAGCAATTTACGGTCAAACCACGTAACTGTCAGTTAGAACTTGCTGTAGTTTCCCACAAGAAAATTTGGTATACAAGATTGACTATTTTCAAACTACTATTACGGAAACACTTGTCAACTTCCCATTTTTTTGTTCCAAGAGAACATAAAAACAAAATTTCTAATTTTATTTGGAGCAACCAAAGCTCTATTCCATTCCTTAGGCTACTACTATGCTGAAAAGAATGGTGTGCTACTGAAGAAATGATTCACAACGCATTTACTTATTTTACCTTATACTTAACAAATAGTAGTCATAACCCAGAAAAGAATATTCATATAGGGATTTACTTGGAAAAAATTGTCTAAATGGGCTATATTGTAAAATATGATCCCGATGTACCTAAAAATGCTAAAGCTTGTAACTACGTTGTACATCATTGTTTGACATAGCAGCTATAAAACATGTTGTTTATTCTCAGAATACAAAGGATCCCCTGGAACAAAAAATAATCCTCAATTTTTAGGGAAGTATGCTGTTGAAACATTTGTTTCAACAATTTAAAACAAGATTTTTTTTTTAACAGAGGGCTATGCCCTTTTCAACTTTTAGTTCACTCTGAGGCATCCTTAGACGTCAACTCCGGAAAACTAGCATGGCTCGATGTAAGTTACTGAAAAAAAAATGGGGGAGGGGTCTCAGTGTTTTCGAATTTAAAGACATCACAAAATATAAATGCAAAGCTATGTGGACTCAAAGTTTAATATGCATAATTCTTCCCAAGGCCAAAAGAGAATACCACCAAAATTGTTGCTCTAAAATTCTGGTTATTTCTAGGCAATTCAATTATAGATAAGTGTAATAAAATACAAGATTAAAACTTATACTAAAACATATCGGTACTCAAAAACCTATAATCAATAAAGACAAAGTTTTAATAATGTCAGCATAGCTGACCATAGCAAAAAAATTGCTCCAGAGAATATACATGATTTTCATAAAATGGTGTTAACCACTAGGATCATCTGATAAGCAACCTAACATTTCAAGCTGAACTTTAACTTTTGGCGACAAAAATTCTTACAAGGCAAACACACTATGAGATAACTGAATTTACCATAAGTTTGTCAGTAAAATTATAGGAATAATCAGTAACACATAAAACTTACATTTAAATAAATATATTTAAATATCTGGTTGTATATTAGTGGATAAGATACAAAAAATCATTTAATGCTATTGTATTCAGTTTGCTAGACACAATATAAAATTCCCAGTGAAGCAGAATTTGAATAAGGATTTTGTAGCAGAACTATGTATAAAATATTGCACATGATGGACTAACTTATTAATGACTTAATTGTTGTTTATAACAAATTCGAATTCTACTAGTAATCTTGTATGCTAATTTGCTAAATATGATAATCCCACCTAGGAATGGGTGACTGACACAATGGATTGAATCTGATACATGTGCCCTTTTCCAGAAATTCAGCCCTTGTATGAATAACACATTATAAGACTGAATCACAACACTATGAAGTCAGTCTGCAAGAAAATGTCTGTTTCATCCACCAATATAGTCATAAAGCTCAGTTCCTTATACAATGTGCTGGTGAACTGTAATATAGGAAAATGCTTCCATCTCTACCCGTCTCTTTCACTGTTTATCTGATTATCAATTGTGTGTTATAGTCTATTTTGTTCCTGGAATCAAGGCCAAATCCATTGGTGACCTGGTTTACCTATTAAAAACGTAAAAGCCATCCAGATAATTGGAAAATTTCCAATGTTTGATGTAATTATGTAATTATTACATCCAGACTGTGTTGTACTGAAATGGCCTGTTTTTATACTGCTACTCTGACCATAAAAACTGTTGGAAATGTTTTTGCTTATGTCCTTAATTCTATGAATCCATGTGGGTTTCACAAATAACATTACAAAAAGAAATAATAATTCTTGATTTCTTGCTTTATCCAACATAAATATTTTTTCTTCAGATAAAAAAATGAATTAGTTTATCTGAAAACAAACCTCAGAGTTCAAAGCCATTCCCTCTCGTTCCTGTTGGCTATTGAGTTAATTTTGCTCACTGTGTTCTCCGATGTACTGCCTGCGGGTGACATTCAATTAATAACTCTCGCTTTCTCATCCTCTCTCTTTCTGTCATTTTGGTGTTTAATAATTAAGGAATGATATTTCTAAAATATATCCAGTTGTGGTAACATATCAAAAGCCGAATCAACACCTGAGTCAAGAAGAGTTTTACATCAGTGAGAAGTCTGTTATCTAGCTTCTCTGATTCCTGAAGTTGCTTTGGTTGTTTAATTTTGAGCTGGATTTTTAAGTCTGCATCATGATTATCCTTCACCACAAAAAGGCACAAATTAATCAACATACTGCATGATTATATAACATATGTTCTAAATAAACCAAATCTTTGTAAATTTGGCTTAATGGATCACAGAATTGAGTTCCTAACCAAAAAAAAAAAAAATCTACTAAGGGAGTCAGCAGAGAAGATATATATATATTTATCTCATACACTTACTGGCAACAAAATAAGAAAGTAACAAATAGCATGTAATGATTTTTGACAAATGTATCCCATTACAACAGCCACTATCATAATTATAAGCTTTCCATAATGTTAAAAGTTCCCTTGAAACTTTTTGTGGTTCACTTCATGCTCTTTCCAAAACCACAACAATTGCTTATTTCAAAGGGCAATTAAATCTACTAAGAATCACACGGTATATTTATTGGACACTTTTCCTGTTGGCATGATGCATTTGTGATGCTCCCATTTTTCCACATGAATCTATTTTCACATTAACAACCTTTCCAGCTTTGTTTGAAATTCTTATTGCATGGGATATAATTATTTTATGTATTTACTTGCAATCAACTCACTTTTTAAAAATTCAAGCTTGGTTTCTTCAGCATATAATTGGACTGTACTTTTTTTAAACCCACCAATAATTTCTGTATTTTTGTGAAATGTATAAGTTATTTATATTTAATATAATCACTAAGATGGTTGCATTTAAATTCATCATGTTCCTATGTTGTTCAGTTTGCTTTGTATATAATTTTCTTCTTTTTATCTGTCTTCTTTGGATTAATTGAGGCTTTGAAGTTTTTTCTCTTAGGTATCTGTTTTATTTGTATATTGGCTATAAGTTTTAACTGTTAAAGTTTTTCTTTCTATTGCTTTGTAGTTCCTTTAGGTCATTGACTCACAATCTTGTTCTGTAAAGGACCAAATATAACAATTCAAAATTCTCAGTTCATACGATATCTATTGTGTCTAATAAAGCTCTACGCTGCAGGGCAAGGAGGGATAGCTTATATACTAATATCCTTTTATTTTCCTTTACTTTCATTTGCTAATGTGATATGCTTTCGCTTCTATATGTGCTATTATCTCCTCAAAATGTTCATTTTAACCAAAATAGCAAGCTCTTTTAAAAAATATAAACATGTATCATATTTACTCATTTATTTCATGCATATTCAAATTTCCACTTGAAATTATTTTATTTTGTCTTACTAGCCTTCCTTAGCAATGTTTAAAGTGCAGATCTGTTACTAATAAATTAGACACGTCTTTTCCTAAGATGCCTTTATGAACTTTAATTTTAGAAATTTTTTTGGGTAGAAGTCTAGGTATGTTGACTTCAATAATCTAAAAACGCTTCTCTAGAGTGTTTCATTTGCAGAATATCTAACAAGATGTCTTCTGTCACGCTAGGTGTATTTTTCAATCATGAAAGCCGATGTATATATAGCTCTGTTTTTATGTACAACTACGTAATAAAATACCAATAACACAAAGTCTCTCATCGTTTGGTAGGCTAAACTAGGAGAGCATTGACCATCCGTATTGACAGTATACACGCCTTTATATTGGAAAAAAGCAAACAGTATCTCTCCTGCTCCAGCCTCCTCTAGTCCCAAGAAAGACAGTGATGCCTTTTGAAGCAATATATTTTTGGTGAAATCAGAAGAGTAATTATAGATATCAGGTTATTTCTTCCAAGTATTAGTTGTTGGAAAAATATTTGAGAAATAATACTAAGCTGTGTTGCCTTTTACGTCTTTGTTATTTTGTTCTAGGTTTAAATCTTTAAAGAATTTTGATTTGCCTAAGACTTGGGGAAGGTGGGGTTTTTTTTGTTTTTGTTTTTTAAGGAAAATCATCAGAGAATTTTCAAAGTCTAAATATAAAAAAGTGAAAGTGTCACTATAACTGCTACCACTACTATAACCACTGATACTAAAGCTCCCACGATTTGTAAATAACAATAATTTTGTTTTAAATTACAATTGCTTCATTTACATAAGAAAGGATGATTAAGAACTAAGTCATCATATTGGCTATTGAAGAACATCTTGGATAATCTGCCCACATTCTCAGGAAAGAGATAAATTAAAGAATAAGGCTTCCTGTAGACCTAATAAAATATAGACATGAGGACTATTGGTTACCTCTTTGTTACTTAAATGATTCTCTTTATTCTTCTGTTGGCATTTTATAGTTTAGAAGCAGCTTTCAATCTGGAACAATTTATATCAAAACTGGCTAGCGTGGGTCCCGTGTGACAGTCTTGCGGCTAAACCCTTGCCTTGCACCCAGGGATCTCATATGGGAGCTGGTTCATGTCCCAGCTCCTCTTCCTACAAAGCTCCCTGCTTGTGCGCCCTGGGAAAGCTGTGAAAGACGGCACATGCCCTTGGTCCCTGCACCTGCACGGGGGACCTGGAATAAGCTCCAGGCTCCTGGCTTCAGAACAGCTCAACTATTACAGCCATTGTAGCCACTAGGGGAGTGAACCAGCATACAGAAGATATTTGTCTCTCTTCCTCTCTGTAATTCTGCCTTTCCAATTAAGCAGAAACAAAAACACCAAAGCTGGTTAGCATCATAGCAGCAGTTCACCTCAGAAGGTGT